CAGCAAAATAACTGGGCACTTCATGCTAGACACACACTTGAGGGCAATTATGATGTTTAAAACCAAATACCTTGGCTATGATCTTGGCGGTGCTGCCAGGTACTGAGCAGGTAAAGGACAGGCTGGTGGTGTTTGAGCAGGGGCATCTTAAGGCAGTGCTGGATTTAATATTCTTTTATGACTCTTACGTTTAGTCTTTCAAGAAGCAAACGCCTGGCCCTCTGGATGGCGAGGGAGAGGACTGCAGCATGCCCAACTGGCTTGGGCGTCAGGAGGGCTCTCCAGGCTAAGGCTCTGAAAACACAGCTCTTCTGCCTGCAGCCACATCAGTGGGTATTGCCCAAGCGCCTGAGAGCAGCAGGTAATGTCATGTGGAAGATACTAATTTGGAAACATGCTGCTTTCTAAAAATAATTACGCAAGGAAGACTATAAACAGACAGCCCTCCCCTCCAAAAATCAATCATCCACAGCGCAGTTGTGAATTCTAGCAGCTTGCTTAAATAAGCCTGAGAAGATCCTGTGAGCAGGAAGAGTCTAGTGCTGCAAAGCTGGAAGCTTAAGCAAAACTTCCAAGTTTTCTTGTTCTTTCGCACCTTTTTGGAGTGTGGCTGATGTTCACTAGCAAACTTAGTTGATGGTGCTGCAGAATGTGTACCTGCTCCAGTGCCCACATGGATTGTAGTTCCACATTACAGCACAAGCTGATTTTAAAACATAATAGGCTATGACCTGTAGCAACTCAAGAGCAGATTCATACCCTGTTGAGCTGTAGCCCTTTGGAGGGGGTAAGTCAGGACCTGGAACACTCCTGACTGGTGGGATTGACCTCCAAGCCATGAGGGCATGCTGCCTGCTCAGTTCATCCAGTAATGTCTCTCTCCTACAGAAATACCAGGATGCTTTTGGCTTCCTCAGTATCTTGTATCTTCCCACAGATGCAAGAAATGCTCTAACTTAGTTCAGAGTTGTATTGAGGGAGAAGGGCAGACTGTTCTAGATGGGCTTACTCTGACTTGCTTTTGAAATCCAGTTCAGGTACGGTGTGGTTTCTGGGTTTACACAGTCAAAAGTCCCTGTTTTATGGTTGCAGAGGGCTTCAGTGGGGTTAATTTGCAATTGCACTAATCAAAGTATCTGCAGTTCTTTAAGGCTCCTGATCTTTTTGTGTTTCTTTCAGTTGCAATGTTTCTTAGAGCCATAAACCTGTTTTTATAGCTCACATAGTCTACCCCTTGACCACATGTACATTAACAGGGGCATTTTTTTGTTGGTATTATGTGATTCCCTTCTAGCAAAATCTGTGATGCTCTTCAGCTGAGCCGGATGGCATGAAGGGATCCCCAGGAACAAGACAAGGGGATGCTGCAGTTTCCCCCTGTATATAGAGTGGCACAAGCAGTGTTTGTACTGTCTGTTGGTCGGTGGAAGGATGAATTTGGATCTAGCTTTCTGGATCTAGCTTACTGACCCTCAACACCACTGGTCTTCCCCAGGAAACTCTGCTGCCGTTCTGTGCTGGTGTGCTGCCCTTGCTTGTTTTGCCTGCCTTTGGTGCTCGATATCAGATAGCCATTGATTTAATTTCCCCAATTACATTACAGCCCTGTGGGTGTAAACAGCAGCTGGGAAACTTGAGCTGTGCTCCTGGTAAACACGCCAGCAGAACCACCACACCCCTCCCATCCTTCAGCTCTAAGCTCGTAGGTAGGTGGCAGGGGACCCCGGGCAGCCGGCGCGCTGGGGCTGGGCACCCTCCCTGGGGAAGAACGGAGGCCATGTGGAGTGGGGAGACAAGGCGTTTAATTGGAGGGCCATACGGACAGGCTTTCTCCTCTGCCCATTTGGGTGGCTCTTGCTTGTCCTAGGTAACAGCTGCCGTAGCCCCCGGTACAGTAACGCAAGGCAGCGTGTGCTTTGGTGGTGTAGCCAGAGCTTATCAAGGGGTACTTCTGCGATCGCTCTCTCCAGGCTGCCCCTACACTGCTCTGTTGGGATGGGCTGTACAAGACCGGGCCTAAGACTTAGCCTAGAAATTGCTGTAGCTGTTTAAGATGGTGCTCTCCCATCAGACAGCCCTGGCAGCGTGACTGCGTGGGCAGTCCCCATCCGTGGGGTGCTCGGTGGCTTCCTTCTGCGGCTGGCAGGGCTCTGGCAGCGTGTGTCTGTGCGGCTTCGCTCCGGAGGGCAGCGACGAGTGCCTGAGCAGCCAAAGACGTGGGCCGCTCTCGCATTCTCTAGTGCATGTCTAGGGTTGAACTCTTTCCTCCGTCCTCAGCGGTGGTGTCCTGCACGAGCAGGTCTTGGTGGCAGATCCAAGGCAGATCCAACAGAGACTGTTCCGCTGCACAGCTGGGGGAGTTTGCTGTGATGGGGCAAAGCTCTTGTAGCTGTGCTCACGTGAGGAATGCTTTACCTGTATAGCATGCTGTGCTCTGTGCCGGGGAGGTGTAGTCAAGATCTCTGCTGTAAGGGCGGAGCAGGTAAACATTGGTAACAAGGCAAGTTTTAACTTGCTCAGATCTACAGTACACCTAAGGAGGCTTTGGGGGATGTCCAGCAGAGAACATGGGGAAAGAGAGGGAGCGATTGTGCGGTGACTCTTGCTTTACCACCTCCATGTCTCCTGCTGTGCTGGCAGTTTGTACATTTGCACAGTGAACCAGGTCCTGTAAAGCAACACCTGTGGGCAAAGGTCAGCTCTGGGGTGCAGTTCAACCTGTGCTTGCATGAGTGGTGCCACCTAATCCGGTGCCTCTGAAAGAGGCATCCCGGTGGTGAGCTTGACTGGCTTGGAGATGCTAAACACTGCTGAGCTGGTGCTGCTCGAGCATCTGCAGCAGGTCCTGCTGCTGTCCTGGGTGTAGGGGCTCCCACCCTGCGTGCGAAAGGTGATGAAGTGGGACTGCCGGGTCGGAAGTGAATGCCAGTGCCCTTTTAGTCATCTGTCAGCGATGAACTTGCAGTGCAGTTGCATGCTACTTACCTGACCAAATAAGTATTGGCTAAAGGGTGTGTGTAGCTGTGTTTTGGCATGTAAACTTCACAAGTTGAAGCACTTAGGCATCTGACCTTTTAGGAAATTATTGTAGGTGGGTTTTAAAGTGCATAATAAGTTCCTGTCCTGGCTGGAGACACGGCAGCTGTGGGCTCAGGATGCTCTAAGTGGTTTACACAGCATGTGCCAGCGCTGGGGCTGATCAGGCTGAAAAATAACCCAGTCCGCAGGCATAGTAGCCTGTCCCGGTTATTTTTCAACTATGTGGTTCCCTACTGCAAGTCCCTCTTGCAGCCGTGCGGGCCACGTGTCACAAGGCTGCGTAAGGGTGAGCAGTCGGGATAGGTCCCACTCTTGCGGCCATCAGGACACCGCTCAATTTGTGCTGGCCTTGGTGTGCTGGGGGGACTGGTGTGGGTTTTGTGCCTCCCTGAGCTCCTGTCCAGATTGACACTGAAAGGCAGCTTGGTTGGCAACCCCAGTGTAGGCTCCTTGGCTCTCCTGTAGCAGTAGCACTGTTACAGTGCCTCCTGGCATCTTTGGGCATACACGTGCTTTTGGCTACTCCCAGGTCCATCCCCGAGGCCATCAGCCCGTCACAGGCCCATCTGCACAAGCCCAGAGCGGGGACAAGCAGGGGCACACAGTGGTAGGTGGGACCCCAAGCCAAGGACCCCTGAGCGCTGAACACCCCGTCCAGGCCCCTCCTGGGGTTGTCCCAGCAGAGCCTCAGCCCCGGTGTCCAGGCATGACAGCCATCACCACGAGCCATGGGGAGCAGCTCTCCAGATCACATTTTGGACTGAGGAGGTTGCTGCCAAGGGCTGGGACACATTATTGGGTG